CAGGCACCTGGAGCAGTTTTGTAAGAGAACGCCTCCCGTGAGAAACCAACCCTGGGCAGCTTAGAAGGTGATTTCTGGAAAGTTCTGGAGGGCAGATTTTCAGCAAGTTCTGCTGATGCCACAGCAACTTCTCTGCCACTCAGGGAGCCACGAGCCCTGTCCACGGAGGTCTCAATCTTATTCCTATGGCCTGTGGATAGAGAGGCAGCTCTTTCTCAGATGCTCTACCTCAGCCCCATGGGGCAGCAGCTGCTCAGAATACCTTCCGTTCCTATATTCTTTACAGTTCTCTGTGCTTTTTACTAGCCAGACGCTCATGAGTCCAATCTGCTGCTATGTTAATGATTCTTTGTATTTAAACTTACCGTGTTTAAATTACTGTGTTTTCTCTCTCTAGATTAGATCCAAGCGGATACACCATCCTTCTACACCTTTGTTGTTTAATGTTATAGCCACTAGCCACATGTGGCTATTGAGCATTTGAAACGTGGCTGGTGCCAAGAAGGAACTGAATTTTTAATTTAATTTAATTTAAAAAAAAAACCTGAAGCAGTGTACTTTTTTTCTGTTAAATATTTTATTGCATGTAAAATGTCCCATTTGTATTTTATTAATAACATGTTGAAATGATAATATATTACAGGGGTCCCCAACCCCCAGGCCATGGACCAATACCGGTCTGTGTCCTGTTAGGAACTGGGCTGCACAGCAGGAGGTGAGTGGCGGGTCAGCCAGTGAAGCTTCATATGTATTTACAGCTGCTCCACATCACTCGCATTACCACCTGAGCTCTGCCTCCTGTCAGCATTATGGTGAGTTGTATAATTATTTCATTATATATTACAATGTAATAATAATAGAACTAAAGTGCACAATAAATGTAATGTGCTTGAATCATCCGGAAACCATCCCCACCCCCTCAGTCCACTGAAAAATTGTCTTCCACGAAACCGGTCCCTGGTGCCAAAAAGGTTGGGGACCACTGATATATTAGATATAGTGGGTTAAATAAAATACATTTACATTATTTTCACTTGTTTCTTTTTACTTTTTTAATGCAGTTACTGGAAATTTTTAAATTATATATGTGGCTTGAATTCTATTTCTATAGGACAGCCCTGTCCTACACCCATTTTCTGTTCAGTCTTTCCTGATTTTCCTAAACAGACATGACTTCTGCCTCCTCCACAGCTCTTTGAATTTCTCTTAGGATATTCGTGGGGGGCATTTGCTAGTTATTTGCCTCCTCCTTCTATAGGCATCTCAATCTCCTTTTGTGGAATTAGTGGCCACATACAGCTACAGAAACCAGAGTTATCCCTGCTAGCCTGGGAGATGGGCATAGAATCAAGGTCCTCCAACTGGAAGCTCCCTCTGGACACTATGTATGTTTTTTTTTTTGTTTTTTTTTTTTTTTTGCGGTACGCGGGCTTCTCACTGTTGTGGCCTCTCCCGTTGCGGAGCACAGGCTCCGGACGCGCAAGCTTAGCGGCCGTGGCTCACGGGCCCAGCCCCTCCGCGGCATGTGGGATCTTCCCGGACCGGGGCACAAACCCGTGTCCCCTGCATCGGCAGGCGGACTCTCAACCACTGCGCCACCAGGGAAGCCCAGACACTATGTATCTTGAGCAAGTGTTGCAAACAAGTGGGGTCAGTTGGAGGTCCAGTGATGCAGCAGTGTGGCGTATATACTATACTCACTCTATCTGCTGTGTCACTTTTGCAGTGATTTCTGCTGCCTAGCCCTCTGCAGCATCTAGGTTTTCCAAATTGATTGGAATTCAATCAGTATGGTTTCATGGATTCTCACCATTGACTCTCTGAGAAACTGACATTTGTCCAATCAATTCCTTTTTTTCCTTAAGAGTTACAAAGGCTGTTTCTGTTGTTTGCAACCAAAAACTCTGATTGATTCTGTATTGTTGTTCTACTATGTATTACATTTATTTCTAGCAAGTTCTAGCTATGGGGAAAGTCTCAGAATTGCAGGATAAACTGAAAAGTCAGGCTTTGGGAAGCACAGGCACCAGCCCCACAGACCTACACGCCAAAAATGATGGGTGCCATCACTGAGATAAGTGCCCAGTGATCTTTTTTAGTTCTTGGGTCATCACTTTGCTTATCCCAGAAATAGAGTGTAATGGATCAGCTGAAAGGGGTCTGTAGTAGGCAGAATAATGGCCCCTCAAGATGTTCATGTCTTGTTTTTTCTTTTCCTTATTTACTTATTTGTTGGGTTTTCTTTTATTTATTTAATTATTTACTTTTGGCTGCATTGAGTCTTCGTTGCTGTGTGCGGGCTTTCTCTAGATGTGGCAAGCAGGGGCTACTCTGTTGCGGTGTGTGGGCTTCTCATTGCGGTGGCTTCTCTTGTTGTGGAGCACGGGCTCTAGGGTGCGCGGGCTCAGTAGTTGTGGCACACGGACTTAGTTGCTCCGCGGCATATTGGATCTTCACGGACCAGGGCTTGAACCCATGTCCCCTGCATTGGCAGGTGGATTCTTACCCACTGTGCCACCAGGGAAGTCCAAGATGTTCATGTCTTAATCCCTGAAACCTGTAAACGTTACCTTAAGTGGCAAAAGGGACTTTGCAGATGTGAGTAAATTAAGGACCTTGAGCTCCGGAGATTATCTTGGATTATTGGGGTGGGACCAATGTAATCACAAGCATCCTTAGAAGTGAAGAAACTTTTCCAGCTGGATCTGAGAGATGTGACTATGGAAGCAGGATTAGAAAGATGTTACTGATTTTGAAGATTGCTGGTTTGGAACATGAAGGAAGGGGGTTATGGGCTGAGGAATGCCAGCAGCCTCTAGAAGCTGGAAAAGGCAATGAAATGGAACTTCCCGAGAGCCTCCAGAAAGGAATGCAGCCCTACTCACACCTTGGTTTTAGCCCAGTGAGATTTTTGACCAACAGAACTCTGTTTTAACTCTAGGTTTGTGATAATTTGTTAGGGTAGCAAATAGAAAACTAATACAACAGTCTATCCCTTGATCTGGAGAGGCCATCACTTTGATTGACAGTCTGACCAAGGCTGTATTCCTTGGAGAGTAGGAGGTAGGTTCCTGTATGAAAATCGGGTGCTATTACCTAGTGAGGGAAAGAATGAACAGGCAAAACCTGGGGGTCTGCTGCAACCAATCACCACAGCCCCTTGCACATCGTTTAATCAAAATCTATCCAGTTGAATTTTTAGGGCCAGCAACCGTTTAGGTTAAACGTTCTGGGTGAGAAGCCTTGAGGAGACAGAAGAGAACTTTATAAGAAATGTAAACCCAAATTTACATATGCAACACTGCATATATAAATATTGCATCTTCAAAGAACTTTAAGAACTACATACATCTTAAAAATTCCAAATTTTGTCATAAAGATTCTTATGAAACTTGGAAAGGACTGATCCCCCCTCAATAAAGATGTAGTTAACTCAGCCATCTTCCCTAGTACCTAGACATATGGACCTCTTCTATAAAGTGTTTAAGAATCACTGGCTTAGTCACTGACTAATTAGCTGTTGATAAATCACAGACACTAATGGGAACATACTTAGAGGCAAATGAGGTGAAAGTTATGGTCCACAGTCTAAGAAGGCAAAACATTGCTACGAGAGCCAAAAGGATCAATAAGGGAAGTTACCGTGCCTGAAGGTGGGGAGAAGATCAGAGCCAAGGGATGCAAGTCAAGTCTATGGAAAAGCCAGGGCTGACAGCCAACACACTCTCAGCTTTTGAACACTTAGTCTGACCAGGTGGCAGTCTAACAATGGGTAATGAATGAAAACATCATTTTGGAATATACTCGAATATCACTCTAAAGGGGTCATTATTGTCAGCTCATGAAGATCCTTTTCCTGCAGTTAACGAGATCCATGCTCAGGTGGTAGTAAGACATCTTGGTCCCCTTTTTGAAGGGGAGTCTGTTCTGGTTGAAAACAATTTTGGCTGTGAGCGTTCCCTCAGGAGACTGCGTGTGTATCTGCTTGTTTTTTGGTGTTGGGGTTTGGGAGGGGTGAGCCAAGGGACTCTTTCC